TTTTGGAATTATTGTTAACAATTTACAGAGCACATTCTGAGTTTGTTGGTACTAGGTTGAGAGAAAAAAAGGTGTCTATTCTGTGTAAACGGTTGTGTAATCAGTGTGCAAATTAAATACAGAAGTGAACACAGACCTGAGCGGGAGTGAGGCATTCTGAGCATGGCGGAGGGAGGCCGTCGGAGATGAGCTGCTGGTGCAGGGTTCAGGCATCTGTGATTATGGGCTGAAGGGCCCAGCGGGCTGCCTCTGCCCCAGACTGCTGCCTGCCATTCCTCCCATCTGGGCACCGCATCTCCGTTGGTCCCCAGTTCTCCAGCTACATGGTCTGGCTGAGAACGGGCACAGTTCTTAGAAACACAGGTGCTTCCGAGGACAGCGGGCTGGCTCTCTTTGCACCCATGGCTGGGAGCCCATGCCAGCTTCCCTGCTGAGCAAGCTGGCCTCCGGATGTGCTTTTGGGAGATGTGTCTGAGCCCGACATCTGCCTGCACAGGCCTATGGCTCCCTGACAGCTCTGCTGGGACTGGCCTCTGGGGTCGCACCTACTTCCCTGGCCATTCTAGTCCTGAAGCTAACTCCTCCACCTGGAGGGGCTCTGCCTGCCGCTGGCCGTCCCCCTCCTCCCTGGTCCCTTCAGTCCTCTCAGGCGCATTTTGCCCATTATTGACCCTGAGCAAAGCCACGGTCCCTCTTGGCCCTGTGCCCAGCCATTTCTGGAGCTCCCCTGGAGATGGCCAAGGACTAGGAGTTTCTCTGCTCTGTGTACCTCAGACACAGCAGCGGGCCCAGAGCTGCAGGAAGTGCCCCAGGGCATCCGTGTGCTCTGGAGGCATCTGTTCTGAAATCCCGTGTGGGATGGAGATTCAGGGCAGGAAGAGACACAGGAGTTTCCCTTTTTTACTCTCCTGTCACCTCTCTGCCCTTTCTAATACCTCTGGTGACCTCCATGTACCCGAATCTTATCTAATATTCAGACCTGATTTTTTTATCTTCTATGTTAGTGTCCTGTGCTGCGGTAACAAACTCCCAAAGACCAAGTAGCTTAAAACAACAGAAATGCCTTCTTTCAGTTTATGAGGCCCTAAATCTGAATGAAACCCAGGTGTCAGCCAAGTTGGTTGCTCCCGGGCGCTCTGAGAGAGAGAGTCTGTCTCCCAGGCTTGTGGCAGCCACACTACAGCCTCTGCCTCTGTCTTCACACGGATCTTTTGAGTCTCTCTGTGTCCTTTCTTACGGGGATGCCCGTCATTGGATTTAGCATCCCTATTAATTCCCTATGACTTCATCTTAATCCTTAACCAGTATCTTCAAAGAGCCTATTTCTGAATAAGGTCACAATCTGAGATTCTGGGACTCTGAGAATGTGAACAGTGAGGGGTAGGGCCCTGTTTCACCTGCTACACCATCCCAGGAGCATTTCATGACTTTCCCCCATCTTTCCAGCAAACCCTCACAATTTTTTTTTTCTATCTGTAAGAAACAAGAACAATTCACATGCACAGTTTCTCTTGAAAAGTCGCCGAGCCTCTATTTCCCACAGCCGTGCCCTTTAGCGGGTGGCTGCCCTGTCCTGCACACCGCCTGCTGGACCCTGGCACTGTCATTGATGAGCTTGTCTCCTGATACAAAAGGACTCAGACCAGGGGCGCTGATTAGGGCAAAGGCTCTGCAGAAGGAAGGAACCTGAGATGGGGTCCCAGCTTCTTCGAACTAGAAGGGGCGCTCGGGGGTTTTCATGGCCTGGAGACATGGAAGTTGCTGGGGTTAACCAATCAGGAAGTCAGCCAGCAGGTCGTTTTCTTCTTTGGAACACAGATGCCTGGGTACCCATCAGTGAAGTGGAGCCTTCTGGGGTTGTGCAGCACTTATTCTGGGATTCGGGAGGGGACTTTCCCAATCAGAGAGCAAGTTCATCCATGTGGCTTGGCTTCAGATCTGAAAAACAAACCTAAAAGAAGTCAGGTGAGTTTCTGGACCATTGTTGTATAGCTGCCTATTAATCATTGCCATGGCCTGACAGGTCTTGACTTGATAGAGCAACTTCCAAGGGCATTTTATTCTACCAGTTGCAGGGGTGTTAGAGCTGGGTGCATCACGTGCAAAGACCTTCCATGGTCAGTATCAAGTTTACCAAGACGGTGATGGCACAAGATTTCTGCCACGCTGGGCAAATCTGTTTCATCCCTCTATCTGATAACAGCTAAGCAATGATTGTGCACTATACCTCAGGCACTATTCTTGGCACTTGGAATACAAAATCGTATTCCTGAGCAAGTATAGATACTCCTGCTGTTAAGGAGTTTACTGCCTTGTGGGGTAGAAAGCTAGGAATCACACAAATAAAAATAAAATTATGATAAATCTTACAAACGAGGGGTTTGTGGTGTTGAGAAAATAGAATGGGAGAAATTTAAGGTGATCTAACAAGTTAGGGAAAGGCCAAGATACGAAAGGTGAGGATTCACCTCAATGCGGAGAAGAAGCAACCCCTGTACAGGAAGCAGTGTGCGCACAGGTCCCGCGGGGGGAGCGACCACAGACTGAGACTAAAAGGAGATCGTTGTAGCTGAGAAGTGGGCGGAGATGAAGGGCACAGAGGCAGCGGCCAGGCCACACAGAACCCTGCGGACCATACCAGAGAGTCTGTCTTTATCCAAAGTGCAAGAGGAAGCAGTTAACACACTTTAAGAAAAAGAAAACGGTCGCATTTGTCTTAGTACAGAGATTACCCTGGAAGCAATTTGGAAAATGGATTTAAGGGGTGTGGGAGTAGATGTGAGTAGGCCAATTAGGAGGTTTCTGCAACAATTCCAGTGACAGCCAGTGATATCTTGGACTAGAGTAGTCAGAGAGAGATGGGGAAACATGGATAGATTTGAGAGAAGCCTAGGAACTCGGTGGGAGATTGGAAAGCCCGGGCTAGGGCAGCCCTGCTGTGGGAAGTGCGTGCTAGTCACAGAGGCAGGGAGCCATGGTCTGAAGGGGGGAGGGGGCGAGGTGAGCATGTGTTTGCTTTAGGACTTGTTGAACTTGAGGTGCCATTGAAACACTCAAGAGGAAATATTGCAGATGGTGAATTGAGTCTAATGCTCTGAGAAGTTGGTGTTAAATTAAATGCTTAGCTCAGCAACTGTTCATAAATGCCAGCCAATGTTATTATTTTCCAACAATATGTTTTTTAAAAAATTAGACCCTTTTTAGAAATGCACTTTTTGGTTATAATTGACACATATTAGTTTCCCAATAATCTTTAATGTGGTCAAATTGGCATGATTAAATTGGTTAACACATTTTAAAGTACTTAAAAAGATTGCTTAACACATTGTAAGAGCTAAATAAAAGGGAGGAAATAAAAGAGACTCTCTCCCTTAAAAAATCCTTTCTATGCTGAGTGTCAGTATAAGAATTTATTACAGCGTCCCTTCCTTATCTATGGTTCTGCTTTCTTGATTTCAGTCACCTGTGGTCAGCCATGGTCTACCCTGGTCTGAAAATATTAAGTGGAAAATTACAGAAACAAACAATGCTACATGTTCAACTGCCTGCCATTCTGGGTGGGTAGCATGGAGACGTCCTGATCCATCCCACCCGGGACGAGACTCACCCCTGTGCTCAGCGTCTCCCTCCCCGCTAGGCACTCGGCAGCCCCTCGGCTACCACATGGACGGTCGCCGCAGCGCAGGGCTCGTGTGGCAGTAGCGCAGGGTCCGTAGGTCACGGGGCCTGCATTGTTCACCTCCCTTCGTCTCGTGGTGTGGCCGCCCTGTCACCTCACTTCAGCACCAGAAGGGTGAGTAGAGTACAATAAGATATTTTGACATTTGCACAACTTATTACAGTATATTGTTATAATTGTGTGGGCAAAAATGGGATGCTATAGTAAATCTAACCGAAAGTAACCTCGCGGAATGATCTGATCATAAATTCCTTACTGGGCAAGTCACAGTGGGTAGTCACGCCCAGACACAGAACAACTTCAGTGAGAGGTGTCTCTTTGCCTTAAACAAGCCCTGTCCATTCTTTCTGCGTACCCATGTTGACTCACCTTTGAAATGTACCCCTTTGGACCCCTCACAGGGAACCACCCTCGAGAGCACATACTCTTGTTATCCAATCCCCACTTTGCTTCCTCTACCTTTGTATAATCTTTACGTTCCCTCCTTAGTCTCCAGTGCATACAGGAAAATGCCTAACGGCCATTCTCTGGGGTTAGGAGATCTTGCTTCCCAGCTATCGTCGATTTTGGCTCAAACAAACTCAGAAAAATTCTCTCCAAGTTTGGACACTTCTTACATTGACAATTATTCTATATTATTAGTTGTCACTGTTAATCTGTTAGGGTGCCTAATTTATAAACTACACATCATCGCACACACACATATATATATGTGTATAGGAAAAAACATAGCATGTATAGGGCTCAGTACCATCTGCCATTTCAGGCGTCCAGTGGGGGTCTTGGAACGTATGCCCCACGGATAAGAAATACTGCATGTGTCCAAAGTCTGACCCAGTTTTGAGAACTTCACAGAAAAAGGATGACTGTCTGTCTGCATCGTCATTTAGAAAATCTTACTTTGCTTGCCAGATAAAAATTTAGTATTTCTAAAGACAGACCTGGATACTGCCATCAGGGAAAGCCCTGCATAGTGACAGGAGAGACCCGATTCTAATTCTCAGCCCAGTCTTCCTTCTTGTGTGACCTCCTAACTTAGGCCCCTGGAATGAGTGTTGTAAGAGGACCTCTTCCAGTTCTAAAATTCCTAAACCATCTGGTTTCTAAACCTCTTAGCAAAAGATGGCCTCTCACCCCCGGGGAGCCCCGGGGAGCCAAGGAGAAGCTGGCCCCAACCGGGGGCCTGGCCCCCACGCTCTATTACTACATCTCTGCACAGAGACGGCCTGATCATCTGATTCACAGGCGTGTTGGACGACTCAATCAGTGTTTCCCTTTAAGTCAAGGGTCAGTGATTTCCCCACTTCCTGTCCGTGACACAGAGGAAGACGAGAAACACAGAAGCAGCAGGGTTTGGGACTCTGGCACCAAGACAGGTGGGAGCGGGCATGTGGGTGCGCTGGGGCACAGCGCTGCGTTTCCAGACCCTTGGGGCCAGTGGGCACCGGGAAGCCGATGGGGCAGCTGAGTGCACTGCTGACCACAGCGCTAACCTAAGACGGCCTTCCTCCATATGGCCCTTTTCAAGGGGAAGCAAGCACTCAGGAGGACACTTGGGGATATTTACTGCTCGAGACAACTTCCTGGCTATGGCGTTTCAGAGCGAGGCTGTAGGCCACAGAACTCAGGGGCGAGGAGAGTTCCAGAGGGAAGGAGGGGGGCTCACATCCCAACTCTGTGGCCAGAGACAGGTTGCTTTCTGAGCCTTAGATTCCCCTTCTATAAAATCGCTATGACTTCTCTAATCTACTTCACGGAACTGCGGTAAAAATGGTATTACAGGTGAGAGAGCAAATCGCAGGAAGGACTCATGCCTCAGTGTACATCCTAGATCACCTCCACAGCAGACAGAAACTTTGTACTGTGTCTTTGCATTCCACGAGAAACATCACCCTGCGAGGTGCTTATCAGAGTAAATGTGGGTGCGTTCTTTTCCTGGCCTTCATTCCCATGGGGTGATCCCCTCACAGGAGTGTGCTGGGGCTGATTATGAAAAGGAATGAAGGATAAACAGAGAGTCAGTGAGGGATGGGCTGTGAACGAGGGCGTGCCAAGCTCTGGAGAACCCAAAAGGCCCTGAGCTCAGAGGGACGTTCCTTTGCGTGGTCTTTCTGTGTTTTCAGCCAAGCAGAGCCCCAGAAATGGCTTTTGACTCCTGGGTCTCTTGGAATGTATTTGTGGGAAACTTTTTGCGGCAAACAGAGCTATCCTGAGAGTGTGCCAAATCACGGAATCTGTACAGGGCCCCAAGGGAGCCAGGAAAATAGATCTGATGGATATTTTTTAATGTCCCCATGTGACTCTAATATGTAGCTAGAGTTGCCAGCCACTGAAAAACTAAAACTTGGCTGGTCTCCAGAACCAGGCCTCTGCCACCAAGTCTATCAATGTACCTGCACACACGGCTTTGCTTGTTACAGTGGCCGATTCGTCCCTGTTCCCACCAACTGCTCCATCTGCAGCCTGGATCTGCTCCCTCTTCCCTCCCCAAGGACATTGCTTGTGGGGTTGTTCCTTCTCTTTCCTAACACTGTCATTTTCCCCCTGCTACTGGATCATATTATCAACAACATACAAATACGCTGTAGTAATAAATATTCCTTTACCCACCACATCCTGCCCCAGTCACCACTGCATTTCTCTGCTCTCTCTTAAACAAAGGTCTGTTAGAATAGCTGTCTGTATGTACTATCCCCGCCTCCTCCTTCCACTCCACCTTTCCCCTGATCTTCTTTCATGTCTGCTCCAATCACGCTTTCATCTTCACTGTCCACGAAAACTACTCTTGTCAGGGTTGCCAGTCACCTTTATATGCTGAATCCCAAGTTCAGACACTTCCAGTCCTTAATGTATTATTCAACTACAGTCAGCAGAACTGATCGCTGTCTTAACTTTATTTTGACTGGTGTCACTGGCTTTTTGTCTTAGCTTTTTTCGGTGGGTCCCTCTCATCTTTCTGACCTCCAAGACTTGGAGAGCCCTTAGTGCAGCCCTCAGATGGCTTCTCTTTATACTCACTTCCTAGAGAATCTTATTCTACCCTGTAAGCTCAAAAAACCACCACAGATTGGTGACTTCCAACCTTACATCTCTGCCGAGGCCTCTCCTCCAAACTCTCCACTCGGCACCTGCCTTTGGATGCCTAATAGGCGTCTGTAGCAGCATGTGCACAAGTGAATTCTGGAATGACTTCCCAGTGATCTGCTTCCAAGAGTCCGATCTTGCCCCTCTCAGATAACAGCAGCTCCACTCTTCCAGCTACCCAGGCTCACAGCCTCGGGGTTATGCTTGATTTCCCTTCCTCACATACCTTACGTCCATGCAACCAGCAAATCTTGTTGGCTCTGTCGTTGAATATATCCAGAAGGGAAACAGTTTTCTCAGTTCCCAGTACAAGCCATCGTCAACTCTCATGGGGTTACTGCAATACCCTCCCCAATGATCGCTCTGCTTCTATCTCTGTCCTTCAGGTTATTCTTCACATAGCTCAAGAGTAAACATTAAAAACATTCAAACTTTAAAAAGCATTAGTCTGAAGATATTACTCCCCCTTGTAAGAAGCTCTAGTGGTTCCCCACCTTTATTCAGCGGGGAATAAAGTCTAAAGCCCTTCACACTGACCTTCTCATGACCTTCCCAAGACCCCACTCTACCCTTTATCCACTTCCTGCTCATCCTGGTCCACTTGTGAGCCATCACTCTGGCTGGTCGCTTGCAACAGATACAATTGTCTGTGTTCTTAGTGGGTATGGTTTGGAGGAAGGGGATGAAATTATATTAGTGCGATCATTGGCCATTCCGAGCAAAGCTCCTGGTGCTTGCTGTTCCCTCTGCCCAGATGGCCTTCTGGGCACCTTCCTGACCACCGCCCTCCTTGTATTCAGGTCCCTGTTCAAATACCATTCTGTCCAAGAGGCTTCCCTGACAACACTTCCTGAAGTAGCACCTCTCCCCTGTCATGCTTACTTGGCCCAATTTTTCTTCAAGGCCCTTATTACCACCTCCTTCCATAGAATTAGCTCATTTATTTATCATGGATCTCATCTCTGCCTCCCACGTGAAGGAAGCCCCATGTGATAGGATCCCTCCAGGTTGCTCTTTGATGTGTCCCATTGTTGAACAAAAGGCTTTCACGGGAGAAAGCTTTCCTAAAAGAAAGGGTTTACTGAGCCAAATGCTGCCAGAAAAGGACCAGGTCCTGGGGCATGAAATCTAAACCACCCACAGCAGGTCCTGCTGCTGGAGCAGGCGCATGGGGGTGGGTTATACCCTGTGTGTTTATGCGTTGGTTACAGGTGTGTGGATGGAAAAAGGTGAAGCAGGGGCAGTTCTGTGATAGGCAAACATTCGGTAAGGAAGAAATATTTACTCTTTTTGACTGGTGGCAAGCAACGGCCCTGAAAGATCATTTCCACGCAGGAAGCGGTGGCATCCGGTGGTCCCTGCAGAAATTGGCTCAAAGCCCCTCATTTAAGAACATGAGCAGTCTTTGGTGAGTCGGCCCTCAGTTTGAACTGCTTAACTACTCTCTTTCTCTCACCCTCCAACCTCCTGTAATTTAGTGAGGACATCTCAGAATTTTTCTCTTGCCACCGTGGGCCCAGAACAGTGCCCAGCACACTGAAGGAGTTTAACAGGAGTTGAATGAATAAGTGAGTGAATCTTCCCTCGCATAACCACTTAGTGACACCTATTCTCTCCAAAGCTTTCCTCATGATCCCCTGAGCTGGGTGTCATCTGTATGTCTCTTAGAGGGCCTTGCATACGTGCTGTTCTAACCGCATTGTCTCCCGATGACTTGGAGCCCCTGAGGCTCTCTAGAGAGGTCCCCTTCTCTAAATCAGTTTGTAACAGCATCGCTTCAAAGGAGAATTCTATTTGGAAAAGTCAGGTGAGTGGAAGTTAATTGTAAGCAAAGTGCCCTGGGACAAGGATTCACACACACATGTGGTAAATATTCACACACACTTGTGTGCATGCACACAAATTCACACACACTTGTACAGCAACAATTTAACCTCTTTAGTAAATAGTTTCTCAGTAAGTAAAAAGTATATTCTATTTATCTTCTGAAACATGTCTTTTAGCTTTTAAAATGTTTTGAATAAGGACCAAGAAAGTTCAACTCCGTAGGAACCCTTACTGGAGCTAGTTGGCAGATTCATTATTTAAAAGTAGGTCATCCACAGTGTAGAACCTGGTTAAACACAAAGCAAAATAGAACAGATCCCAAAACACATGCATTCATGTAACAACTTTATATTTTAAAGATATAACTGGATAAATTTTTAATTATGTTGATTTAAAAAATTTTTTCAAACCCCTAAATGACATCATAGCAAGTTACAAAATTATCTACTGGAAAAAATGCTGTGTGTAGTTAACAACTCCCTAGTTGAACTGATGACCTTATTTTGAGATAGCTCTATATTGGGTTATATCATATAAGTTTAGTCCACCTTGGGACTCTGCATTTACTCCGTTACTCAGCTTATTTGCAGATATAATCACCGTATGTCTGTTGTGTTTGTGTTTTAGAGGAATGGAGGTCAAAGTAAATTAGCCTGAACATTTGCACCTTTCTCTCTTCCCAGCATTTTTCCCCGTGCTCAAGTGTTGGAGACTTCTGAAGACTGTGCTCGTGTGAGCCCTGACGTGAGCCTTGGAGGCTGAGACGTCCGATTAAAGAGGGCTGTCGCAGCCGCTGTGCCGCCAGCCGCGGGCTCGCTTGCCGAAAGCCAGGCCACTGCCACCCCAGCCCCTGCTCCAGGACCCTTTGTTTTAGAAACTGAGGTTGATTTCAACGACTGACCATTTGGGCCACTGTTTTTTTCCCTCCAGCACTTTAAATTCACCAGTGAAATGACCCAACATACCCTAGGCCCTGATCTGGACCCTAATAAAAACAGAGCCCCTCTCTCTTTCTCTCTGTATGACCTCACCATGTGCCCCCAGGTCTGCCATGTAATTTCCAGCCCTTGTGAGCAGTAAACCTTTGGGGTTTTTTTTTCCCCAAAGTTTACCAATAGTTATTGCTGAGGGTGTTTGGTAATCATAGTGAGAACCATGAAGGCCAGTCCTGCCACAGCACTGGTTATCCACAGGCTGAGGCCAAGGCACAAAACTCTTTTTCTTTCAGCCTATTTCTTTCCACTCAGTAAATAGTTCCTGGGCCCCACTGTGTACCTGCTTTAGGAATCTGGGTTATATTCATGATGATAACAAGGGAAAAACCTCTGCCCTCTTGGCGCTTAGTTTTTCTCACGGGGAGATACACAGCACCATGTGTAGTACTTGTTTTCTCTGGTTGCACAATCAAGGCTGCACACCTAGCAGCTTCAAACAGCACCTGTTTGTTGTCCCGCGGTGCCTGTGGGCCAGGAGTCAGTGCATAGCTCCTGGCTCCTGGGAGCTCCCAGTGCAGCTGTGGAAAAGAAAAGACACGCGAAAAGGCTGCTAATGATTCAAGACTGTAGTAGTGAAAACAAACAAACAAATACACATGACCTTAAAAACTTTTTAAAAAAGGTATATCAACTTAAGACCATTCAAATAGTTTAGGGACAAAAGGCCACCTCTGTAATTTCCAGTGTGCTTTGCCCAGGCTGGAATCCCCACTGCCACGGGCCCACCAGGACCACATGTTGAAGGGGGACCGTAGTCACGTGGAGAGTGGAGATCTTGCTGGAGGTGGTCTGTGCAGAAGGCTGCAAAGATACACTTGAAACTGATTTCCATCCCAGACAGCTGGGACGTGCTCCTGTTTTGGTGTTTAAAGGCATAGACCCTCCATTGTTAAAATAAAAATCAGTCCTCAGAAATACTTCATTTCCTAAGGTTCTGAACATTCAAAATCTGATGGCATGTTGAGGCTGGGAGGAGAGGCTGTGAAAGGTGCCTGGGACGGATCAGAGAGGAGTTCCGCCAGTCTAGGTGTCCTGCACTATTTGAGCCTGTAACCTCTGTCCCACTTCCTGGTGGCTGTGTAGGTTTAAGGCACTACTTCCCTTTTCTCCTTAAATTATTTTTCACTTTTTTAAAACAAGTAACAGCATGATTCACACAATGACTTCCCTCCCCCACACTGCCTTAGGAAAAAACTTAGATGAAAAAAGTAATTTCTGCAGCAATTTAGGGGCAGGCCAGGATTAGCTTATTGACTTGTGAAATTCCTCTTCTCCTTCCCATTTGGCATTTTTATTCTAAAACGGGCAGAGTCAGATGGAACGTATGTGAGCATTTCTGTTCTGATTAATGTCCACCCCCAACAAGTCCCACCCCCGTATCTGAGGGACAGGGCTTATCCGGGGATAGGCAGTTTGAATGGCAGCTTTAATCAGGATGTGGATATTCTGGCAGCCATAAAGTATTTTGTTTCTAATTGAGGAAAGTAAGCAATTATTGTAAGTTAAACTACAGAAACAAAAAAGATATATCAATAGTAAAAGAAAGATTGGAGCTCAGAAATGCTACTGTATGCTCAAGTCAGTCACCTATACTCAACGGGCCTCCATTTCCTCATCTGTAAAAAGGAGATAAAGAATATATATTTTACCTTTCCTATTGGCTTATTTTGAGGATGAAATGAGCAATATTTTGCAAGTTTGCTTTACTATAAGGATTATTTGAGTAACTTATTTAAAAATATACCTATTACCCAAATTCTTGTGCTTTCCAAATAAGTGAGTGCAGTAGCCCCCTTATCCGTGAGAGGCATGTTCAAGACCCCCAGTGGGGCCTGAAATCATAGATGGTACCAAACCCTACAGTTTGTACCATGTGCTATGTTTTTCCCTATGGATACACAGCTTTTCCCTTAAAGGAGGCACTTTATGGCTTCTCTTCAGCACATCCGAACTGCCAACATCACTACTCTTGTGCATTGGGGGCCCTTATTTTCTGTTTCATTGAATTAATAAGTTTTTGATTTTTTAACTTTAAAAATGTATTTAAATCATTTTTTTCTTTTTCAATTACAGTTGACATACAATATTATGTTACTGTCAGGTGTATGCACTAGTGTTTGGACATTATATGACTTTCTGAATTATCATCCTGATAAATCTCATACCCATCTGACACCACACATAGTTATGAGAATATTGCTGACTATATTCCCTGTGCTGTACTTTACATCCCCATGACTATCCTATAACAACTAATTTGCAGTTCTTAATTCCTTCACCTTTCTAATCATTCCCCCAACCACACTCCTGTCTGTCAATTATCAAAATGTTCTCTGTGTCTATGTATCTTTCTGTTCTGCTTGTTTGTTTTTGTTTTTTAGATTCATTGCTTATGGATATGTATTTATTGTCATTGTATTGTTCACATGTTTAATCTTTTATCTTCCTTCTTAAAGAAGACCCTTTAACATTTCATAGAATACTGGCTTGGTGGTGATGGATTCCTTTAGCTTTTTCTTGTCTGGTAAGCTCTTTATATGTCCTATGATTCTAAATGATAGGTTTTCTGGGTAGAATAATCTGGTTGTAGGACCTTGCTTTCCATCACTTTGAGTATTTCTTACCAATCCCTCTGTCCTGAAGAGTTTCTGTTGAGAAATCAGATGACAGTGTTTTGGGAGCTTCCTTATAGGTTACTAACTGGTTTTCTCTTGCTGCTTTTAAGATTCTCTTTGTCTTTAACCTTTTGTCTTTTAGTCTTGGGATTCTCTGTACCTCCTCGACTTGTATGTTTATTTCCTTCACCAGGATAGGACAATTTTTTTTGTCATTATCTTTTCAAAAAGGTTTTCGATTCCTTCTTCTCTCTCTTCTTCCAGTACCCCCATGATGCTAATGTTAGTATGGTTGAAGTCATCCCAGAGGCTTCTTACACTATCCTCACATTTTTTTGGTGCTGTTCTGATAGGGTGCTTTTTGCTTCCTTATATTCCAAATCACAAGTTTTTATTCTTGGATTCATCTACTCTACTATTGATTCCCTGTAAATTCTTCATTTCAGTTAGTGTGTTCTTCATTTCTGAGTGGTCCTTTTTTATGCTGTTGAAGTTTTCACTCAGTCCACAAAGCATCCTTATAACCAGTGTTTTGAACTCTGTAGATACTTGTCTCCATTTTGTTTAATTATTTTTCCAAAATTTTACTCTGTTTTTCATTTTGGTCATCTTTTTTCTTCTCCTCATTTGGCAGCATCCCTGTATTTGTTTCTATGCAGTAGGTAGAGCTTCTATGTCTCCTGGGCATGGTATAATAGCCTAATGTAGTAGGTGTGCTACATAGGGCCCAGTAGCACAACCTCACTGATCACCTAAGCTGGGCACTCCAGGTGCACCCCCACCATCCATTTGGGTTGTGAACGTCCTCGGTTTTGTAGTCGAGCCTTGATTGCTGTTGACACGTCAATGGGAGGAATTTGCCTTCAAACTGATGGGCTATAAGGACTGGCGGCAGCCACTGTGGAGAATCAGCTGTGCAGGGGTCTATCTCTAGAGCAGTACTTCAGTGGGGCTCTGGTGCCCATTGAGTTTGCCCCTAGAGTATGTAGCTTATGGAGGTGGTTGTGTGGTACTTTGATGTAGTTTGAAGCTGTCCACTGCATGCACTAGCTCTGGGACTTCCCAGGAGTTGCAGGCAAAGGTCAGCTACTGTTTTATTCTGCCTGGGACCACCTGCCATGAACTACAGAGCAATCTGAAGATGACTGCTACTTGTGCTGGGCTTGGAGGTACCTATGTGAGGTCAAGCAGCAAACCAAGGCTGGCTAGTGGTGAGCCTGGCTGGGACCACTTATCTAGAGGTATGTGGTATGCTGAAGACAGATGCTGCTTGTTTGAGAGATTTAGGCAAGTCTGAATCATGAGCCAAAACAGGCCATCTATATGGAAAAGCAACTGGAAACACCTTGAATGGACCTGAAGGTTGGGTGGGGCTGGGTCTCAGGGAATTTTCAGGGTGGGGCAATAAGTATGAGACAGGTTGATGGAGACACATATGGCACCTGCCTGCTGGCTCTGTTAGAGGAGGCTCAGAAAAGGAACACTGGCTTCTGCTAGCACTTTGGCCTGTGAAATCTGCCCCACTAGCTCTTGCCCTGATGCCAGACAGTTCAGTTTCTCCCTGTATTCTCTGGTGCCTTTCAAGCTTCTGCCTTGGCACTGGAGCTCAGAGGGAGTATATTTGAGTAAGTCCATGTGTGGGTCCTTTAAGAGGAAGTTCCTGGGACTCCAGCTACTCTCTGTCTCACTCAGCCACAATCCCTGCTGGTTTTTACAGCCAGAGATTATGAGAACCTCTCTTTCTGGCCCTGGAACCCTGGGCTGGAGGTCTGGTGTGGGACCCCTCACTCCTCAGAGAGCATCTCTGCAACTGAGATATCCCTCCCAATTTTTATCTGCTACAGGTGGGTGTGGGACCAGCCTGTTCTCCTCTCTGCCACTCCTACAGTCTTGTATTTTTTTGGGGGGGCGGCCTGGTACGATGCCTATACACCTTTGTATGTCCGGAATGGATCACTGGATGTGGCTTCTTTAAATTCCTAGTTGCAGGACCTCCATTCAGCTACATTTCAGGCAGTTCTGAATGATGGGTGCTCTGAAGTGTAGTTGTAATTTTGATGTGATTGTGGCCTCAAGGAGGTGACTACCTGTGCTGTGCTACCCCATCTATCTGTGCTGACATCTTGACCAGAAGACTGAGGGCATTATTAAGAGTCGAATAGACTTCCGCCAAGATGGAGGCATAGGTGGAGATGCTGTGCTTTCTCACACAACCAAGTTTAGAGACGACAAAATATTAGCAATAGAAAACACAGCCAGAACACAGAAAATTGAACTTTTCAGAAGTCTGATAACAACGAATGCTTCAGCCTGACCGGTAAGAGGGGTGAAACCAGCAGCTGGCGGAGCGGGGTTGCACAGGAAAACTCAGTCAGATGGACTCAGGCGCGCAGATCCCAGCTGTGGGTTTGCAAAGGGTGGACCCAGTGAGTGACTGGTGGATCTGG